ATTTTGATTGATAAATTTAGCATAACCCTATATTATACATTTGTTTTTCATTGAATTTCAAAAAATGAAAGAATTTACTCTATCGAAAGCAACAACCAAACTTTGGTCCCCTACAAAGGTTTCCTGGATAAGCTTTAGATATTTTCCGTGAATATTAAGAATTGTTTCAATGTATGATAATGGATGCTAAATATAATATTCATAAGACATGAGATCGATCATAAAAACTAGTAAACTTACATTAATGAGATCGTCACTGATAGACTCAATTGTATTCATTGCTTTTTCATAAATATGAGTTTCAATTAATTTTGACAATTCATTTTTTAACTTTATTAATTCACGAATAGGTTCAAATAACGCAGTTAGTTCTATAATAGTATAAGAAATTTAATAGCTATAAAAAAAGTCAATTTAATAATATTTACCCTGATAATTATTCTCATCTGATACGAGTAATTGAAGTTTTCCCACAATAATATTGAGAATATTATTTGAAAAAGGTTTCTTTTTTAATAAGTCTGTAAATATTCTCAATGTTGGTTTTTCTTCAGGCAGATACGCTCTCGCTTGATTAATTTCAAAATCAATATTTTGTACTGTCTAAAATTCATCAATGTATTTTGTATCGATTTAATAGAAGTACACGTACCATTTTTAAATATTTCAACAGTTCATCATTTGATTCGATAACAGGAAGTTTTTTTCGACAATAAAAATCTTCTGTTGTGTCAAGAAATTTTTCCTCAAAACTGTCCATATAAATATCATCATCCATCATATCAATTGAATTTTCATCAACTAAAAATATTTTCAAATTAACGAAAAACAAAACTATCTCCTTACAATATAAATCTAAAATAAATTTGATCAATTTTGAGTCAAGAGATGATAAACGACTTTGACGATTAATATTAATTGAGGTCAAACATACTTGTATTAGTTTCTGAAAATGTGGTTTTAACACAATTTCTGTCCAAAGTCGTTGGGCTAACTATTTGTTGAAAAACTTTTGTAAAAATATTAGAAATAAGATATAACATACCACATCAATTTTATAGATACCACGTCTTCCGGAGTCAAGTTGACGTTGAAGCCATACCTGATAAAGATATTCATAAGCATCGTTTAATAGACTAAACACCTCTTTATATTTGCATTGAAGTTCTTTGAAATATCGAAGGATGTATACACTGGATACATTATTAATGTCCTTGAATAAGAATAATTAGAGAATATTTAGCAAAATAAAGTTAACAAGTAACGCTCGTCCGAGGACTCGCTTAGCTCTTTCTCATAGAAATGCATTTTCTTCACATGTACTGGCAAAACAATTGAAATCCGTGAAAAATCGGTCTTCGATGTTTTTTTGACCCTGCGGACACACGAGCAATCAATCAGACAATTTATGTTTACTGGACTCTCATGTACATGCTTATGTTTATTAATGCCGTTTTGTGCAAGAATAGATAAAGAATCTTACCTTCGATATATCGTCGAATTTCTTCCGTAAATAATTCTCTAAGTGCAGATATACGCCTTCTCCTATCACATCTTGTCTTTTATTGACACCTAATCGATTAGATAAATGTGAATTGTGAAATGCAGCCATCGTGACATATTCGTATATATTTCTATAAATCACAAATGAAAAACAAATTAACAAAGACAAAAAAAAACTTACGTATATAACTGCATAAGGGTTGGAGAAATTTCATTCCGATCACAAATGTTTTCATGATTGAAAATTTCATCAAGTAAAGCTGAAATGTTTTTCAAAATATCACTTTGATTATTTTGCGACATATATCAGTGTTTTCGATATAAGAGTATTGATGACTGATATTCTGAAACGGTATCAAAATTAATTTATATTTTGATTATGATTGATCTACGTCTTTAGAATATATAATAAATGAACGATGAAAACGCGACGTAGGAAATTTTACAATAAATGAAAACGTATCGAAAATGAAGTTTGTATTTTGACAGTAATATAAAATCGATTTATAATCATCAACAATACTCATATAATTATATTGGGAAAAAAACATTTCAATACGCAGAAAAAAATAAGAGAACGCAAAAGAAATGTAAATAAGTGTCACGTGTTATGGTGTATGCACAATAAATAAGATATAAAGATATCGAGTTTATCATACAATAGAATGTAAAAATAATTGTCAATAGACTTTTTTATTTTGTTGTATTACACAGACACTATGTGAAGCTGCATGGCCATTTTCGATCAATATTAGCCTCACTGAATTCATAAAAGTAGTAGCTAACGTCTACAAATAAAACTTCAGAAAAATTGCTCGAAGAATGTACGAAACAGCCTTTGAAAAAGTTTGGACTAAACGGCAATTTTTTTTGCACTTTACTGTATATATATGATGACGTTGGAATAGTCCTATCAAAATGAAAGGGAAAAAACACGTGTATATGAAGGAAAAGAATGACACTAGAGAACAATTTCAATGATTAATATCATTACATCACAATATGAATGAGTAAAGAAATGATATTTCGTTGTGACTCACTATTTCACTCATCGTTAGAAATGCAAACCGATGGCTTGAATATTCGAAATTTGTCCTTTTTTAATTTGCTAACACGACAGCACCTATGTATATTTCTTATCATCGGTGGCGGCTCCAGAGTTGAAAAATTCTTTCCGAAGTAAAAAAATGCGTTCATGTCAATCTGCTGAAAAATATCAGGTAATAAAAAAGATCCATTTCTCATCGTGAAACGAATATTATTTTTGATTTATTTTAAACTCATGCATGAACTTCTACCCAGTTAGACAGGCATTGAAAAAAAACGAATTCCATAACGTAAATATTTACTAACTTGCTTTTTTCTCAAAAAAAGGTTTTTTTATCGCGTAAACATATGCGCTTTTTGCACATAAAAACGTCGTTGTTTTAAAGCTTGTCTGACTTGAGTACACTTCCATTTGATGATAATGGCTATAGTTACAGGAATATAATTGTATGAGAATCATGTCATGAATATAATAAAAACTTCCTGAGAGTTACGCTATGAGTAGTTCAAATTAATCAGCTCCATATCGTTAAAATCCGTCTCCATTTATCTGTGAAAACGAGATAGATATGATGCTTTAGATGAAAAAATAACCAAACTAACGCAATGATCTTGGTTTTCGTGAAGTAATCGAAGTCATAGTATTGCTTCATGGGATAACTTGTTATAATAATCATTTAAATGAAGTTTTTTTATTTCTTGAGTTGACTATTATATTCATTTCAGACGTTTTCTTTATTAAATAGTCAGATTCGTACAGCTATTTCCACCTTTAATAATTCAGAAAATCAACTATAGATGATATTTTAACGAGACTAAATTGTATACAAAAAATTTATCTGTTTCGACGTATTAAACTTTAAAAATTCCGTATTAATATCATTAATTAATTACACTTATTGACACAATAGTTTATTTAAATGTATTCACCTGTTAAAATAAACGTATAGTACATGTGGATATGTTAAATAACAGAATATCCACACCCACACTATTAGATTTCTTTTTTTGTATTGATATATTACAATAAATAATTTACAAGAAGATTAAGTTTTTGCTTTAACTCTTGAAGTACACGATATAAATGTTCTTCTTTTATTATATATCTAAATTCAGCTCATAGAAAATAGATAAGAATAGGTGAAAGAAGCACGCGGTATTCGTGCTTACCTTATCAGTTAATAACGGGTGCGTCAGGATAAATGGCGGTCTCAGTATTTTAATCGTAACTCGTTCATTTTTTATGCTACTAAGCTAAATTTTTTTTTAAAGATGCGCAACGAAATTCTCTACAAAATCCCTTTAGTTTGTTTTCCTATTTTCTTATTCAGAGAGTTTTTAGAACATAAAAATTAAAGCCTTCTAAAAGGTCGTACTTTCAAACGGCTACGCTAGGGTAAATGAGGATATCGGTATTTTGTTCATAACTTTTTGATTTTTCATGGTATTCAGCTAATTCTTTTTTTGAAAGATGCACAATGAAATTCTCTACAAAACCCTTTAGTTTGTCTTCCCATTTCCATGTTCAGTGAATTTTCACGGCATGACAAGTAAAGACTTCAAAAAAAGTCACATTTCTAACGGATGTGCCAGAATAAATGGCGATGAGTATTTTGACCATAACTTTTTCATTTTTTAAGCTACTGAGCTAAAATTTTTTTTAAAAGATGCGCAACGAAATTGTCTACAAAATCATGTACCTTTTTAAATCTATACCGGTCTGTCATTAGTGACTAATTAGAAAAGTCCCTTTGAAAGTACAACCTTTTAGAAGGCTTTAATTTTTATGTTCTAAAAACTCTCTGAATAAGAAAATAGGAAAACAAACTAAAGGGATTTTGTAGAGAATTTCGTTGCGCATCTTTAAAAAAAAATTTAGCTTAGTAGCATAAAAAATGAATGAGTTACGATTAAAATACTGAGACCGCCATTTATCCTGACGCACCCGTTAGTTATATTCATAAGAAACATTTGTCGAAGTTATTAAGAAAAATTTTGGAAGGTGTTAGAAATGATTTTATTAACTTTGTAGATAATATAGATGAATACATTTAATTATTTTAGTTATGCTAGTAATTTAAAAGAAAGTTTACTAGCAGAGAGAATTGGTAATGATCATCCTATTAGTGTGAATATTGGTCGATTAAATGATTATCAATTTCGTTTTAATCATAAACAAATCGATGGATATAGAAGAGCTAATATTGTACCAATGAAAGGTTCATCTGTAAATGGACTTGTATATGTTATAAATGAAAAACATAAAGATTATTTATTAAAAACTGAACCTGGTTATAAAATAATTGAAGTTAATATTGAACTTGATTGTGATCATAGTATTATACAAGCAATAACATTATTGATGAAACAAATATACAACAAGATTTTCTTCCATCAAATGAATATCTTCAAACAATTATTAATGGTGCGAAAGATCATCATTTTTCTAAAGACTATATTGATTATATTATTTCTATTGCAAATAATAAATAATATTTAGATAAAAAAAAAGATTATTTAGATTTCGAGAACTTTCTAGAATATAGGAAGAGATTGCGCCAAGAAAATGGATGGACATCCTTTCGAATAACCATTCCTTGCTTTATCACATTTATCTTTCTCTTGTTCTGCTTCTTGTGTATAGTCAATCGAAGATGGAATACAGTCTGAATATTGAGCTCAATAAAGAAGCGTTAAGAACTATTTTACTTTTCTTTTATTATTTAATAAAAGACTTATAGTCATAATTCCGCTACAGCGATCTACATAGAGCTATGCAAATTACAAAATCGATCGATCCGAGAAGCAGGAATAGAACAAAGTCAACTTAACCATTCTAAATAAATAAAGTTTAAAATCGTGAATCTGTTTGAGGAATATTCCATATATTATGAGTTAAATTAAATTTTTCGAATATTAATTTTGCTTGTTCATTTGTCCATTTTTTCCAATCTTGATGTAAATGATTTCCATACCATATTCGAGCAAAATTCCATATATTTTC